CCCCCCCCCCCCCATTGTGCATGCTCTCTCTCTCAAAATAAATACATAAACTTAAAAAGAAAGTTTAGTTCTGGAAAGACAAGCCTCAAGTTATACATATGTCCTGCAAACTAAATGAACAAACATATAATAAGAAGCTATTGTGAGTAAGAACTCATTTTAGGTTCAATGAAAGGCAAATGCCTATCGTGGCCTTGCTAGGTTAGGACTATGGCTGATTACTGTCACAGTCAGTGTGTAAGACAACTTGAATAACATTGTGTGGCTATTATATAATTCTATATATTCTAGGAAGTGAAACTCAAATTCCTTCAATAGTACCTTCAATAAGTGGTACTTGAAATAAAAACATGCTTCAGTCATTCAGGAAAAACCATCACAATGTAGAAAGCAAAAAGGAGAGGAATGTCTAACTAATGTCAAACAATGAAACTAGTGCTGAACAATTTCATCTTCTGCAAGCAATATCCCATAGGTACAACCTCCTTAGGGTTGGTAACATTTGCTTACTCAAGATATTTTCCTGGAAGCCAGTAAGATATTTCAGAAATTAGATTTTTTAGATAAAAAATAGGCACGTTTAAAAAATATATATAAACTTAATTTTAAAAACTCCTCAAAGGTCTTAGGTTATTACAATAACATAAGCAAGGTCTTTCAAATGGATAAAATAACAATGTTATGGTATTTCAGAACACGTATTTTAGTAGATCCTCAAAATAGATACATAGTCTCACTATGATAAAATATTGTTTGCAAATTACCAACCCCTCCTCTTTTCTTTTGGTGTAAAGAGAGAAGAGAATGAAATTACCATAAAGCAACACTTCAAACCAGTGTGTTTCAGGTGGTTTGTGGTCACAGTCATGGCATCATAAATCCCCAATTAAATGGCCCTCCAGGAGTCAGAGAGCAAGTAGCTTTAGTTGACTGTGTTTAATTACCTACCAGCAGGCAGGGGAGATACATGGTCTGGTAAAAAAAAAAAAGGTCCAGTAGACAAGAAAATGTGCATACTTTTGGTCTTTCAGCTAAGCTATAGGCTAAGTACATGGAGAAAACAGACTTGACTTACCTGCACTGCCGAGCTGTTTATAAAACCTGTATTCTAAATGAAGCTGTGGAGCACGTGATTTTATTGGTTCCTGAAACCCAAGAAGAGAAATTGTGATCAGATTTAGACAAATAAAAAAATTTCCCATTCCTAGGTTTTCAAAGTAAACCAGGGCCAAGACCACTTAGTATCTTAGAGATGATATCCATATATGATAGCATTTTCTTACCACAATTTCTCTTTGAAAGCACAGCTAGGGAAGGATGAAGGTGAAGTATATACAATCCCTTCCATGGATATTTAAATACACATACTCTGTATGAGCCATCATTCAACAACAGCTCCCTCACCAAGAAGTATTCTTCTGAAATACATTCTCCTAGGAAACCAGATGCCAAACCTTTTAATTAAATACCAGCATGTATTCCCTGCTTGTTTTATTATGAATTTTGGGTGATAAATAGGTTTATTATTCTTAGAAAAATGACATATGCTCAGAAAACAATTTCAAATACACAAAAATTAGGAAGAGAGTAAAAATAATATGAGATTCTATCATTTTAAAGAAAAGCACTATTAATGTTTTGGTGAATGTACTTCCAAGTATTTATTCATACACATATTTATATGTAATATATACTCAAAAATATATTTAAAATAAATGAGATCATAGTATATTTGCTCTTCTGTAATGTATCTTTAAGTTCAACAATGTAATAATGACATCTATCCGTGGCCATACATAGCTTTATATAATTTTTTAAGTAGGCTCTGCACCCAGTGTGAGGCTTGAACTCACAATCCTGAGATCAAGAGTCACATGCTCTACCAACTGAGGCATCCAGGTGCCCCATAAAGCTTTATATAAATTTTAATGGCTGTAGTGTTTTTGTGTATGCGTGTGTGTGCACGTGCACATGCATACATGCACATACCATAATTTTCAGACATCTTGGACTGTTTTCAGTTTTCATTATTACAAATAAAGCTGTTGGAACATTATATGCATATTTATTTTTACACTTAAGAGAGTTAAAGATTGTAATTGCAATTAAAATATGTATCTTTAATCAATATGATGTTCAAGTTTACAAAAACAGAGTTTTCTAAAGCCCTTGGAGATAAAACAGCCAAATTACCAGGTCATTTTGTTCTTCATTGAACTTCAAGAACTGGCTGGTTAATTATTCTCAACTGACTGTATAGTAGACTAGTTAGCAAGAAAATCAAACATTACCCTAGAAGACTGATCTACGTACCCTTTAGGATAGCTATTATCAAAAACGCAGAAAGTAAGCGTAGGTGAAGATGCGTAGAAATTGGAACTCTTGCGCATTGCTGGTGGCAATGTGAAATGGTATAGTTATTATGGAAAACAGTATGGTAACTTCTCAAAAAATTAAGCAGAATTACCACATGATCTAGCAATTCCATTTCTGGATATATACCTGAAAACACTGAAAGTGGAGACTCAAATTGATATTTGTACACCTGTGTTCATAGCGGCATTATTCACAATAATTAAAAAGTAGAAGCAACCCAAGTATCTATCAACAAATGAGTAAACAAAATATGATTACCTTTAGTTCTACACATACACAGAATATCATTTGGCCATAAAAAAGAAAGACATTCGGACATATATTACAACATGGATAAAACTTGAAGACATTGTGCTAAATGAAATAAGCCAGACACAGGGCGCCTGGCTGGCTCAGTCAGAAGAGCATGCAACTCTTTTTCTCAGTGTCGTGAGTTTGAGCCCCATGTTGGGTATAGAGATTACTTCAGAATAAATAAACTTGGAAGGGAAAGGTGAAAGGAAAGAAAGGAGAAAGGAGAAAGGAGAAAGGAGAACGGAGAACGGAGAAAGGAAAAGGAAAAGGAAAAGGAAAAGGAAAAGGAAAAGGAAAAGGAAAAGGAAAAGGAAAGGAATCTGCCAGACACAAAAGGACAAATACTGCATGATTTCACTTATATGAGGTAGCTAAAGTAGTCAAATTCACAGAGAGAAAATTCAATTGTGGTTGCCAGAGGCTATGAGGGTGGGGATGGAGAGTCAGTGTTTAATGGGTACAGAATTGTAGTTGAAGAAGATGAAAAAGTTCTGGAGATGGTGGCAATGGCTGCACAACAATATGAATGTACTTAATGTCACTGAGCTGTACACTTAAAAATTATTAAAATGGTAAATTCTAGGGGCACCTGGGTAACTCAGTTGGTTAAGCATCCGACTCTTGATTACTGCTCAGGTCATGACCTCAGAGTTCCAGGGTCTAAGACACTGCTTGGGATCCTCTCTCTCCCTCTCTCTCTGCCCCTCCCATGCTTGTGCTCACACTCTCACAAATAAAAACTCTGAAAAAAAATGATAAATTCTAGATACAATTCTCTATCAGATATGTGAGTTTTAAATATTCTCTCCCATTCCATGGGTTGCCTTCTCACAATGTTCAGAGTCCTTTGAAATATAAAAGTTTTTAATTTTTATGAAGTCTAATTTATCTTTTTTCTTTTCTTCCTTGTGCTTTTTGTATCATATCAAAAAAAATCACTGCCAAATCTAATGTCATGAAGCTTTTCCTCCAAGTTTTCTTCTAAGAGATTTATAGTTTTGGCTTACATTTAGGTCTCTGATACATTTTGAGTTAATTTTTTACATAGGATGCAAGGTAATGGTTCAACTTCAATGCATGTGGTATCTGATATTCCCAAAAACATTTGTTGAAAAAACTGTCCTTTCTCAGGTGAATGGTTACTTGTCCTCTTTTTAAGACAGGCTCAAAGAAAGGAGATCCCACAGCTTCCCTTGACAATTTATGCTGACGTTTAACACATTTCACGATTTCAAAGGTATTTTAAGTAGTTTAAATCTCTACTACCAAAACTTAAGTCTATTTCTCTTTTGTCCTCAACAAGATAAAATAGCTCTTCAATAACCTGTGAATACTGTAACAACTATCCTCAAATTATAAAACTATTCAATCATTTCTTAGACATCTCTTATTGAGGCATAGTAATTTCAATTCCTTTAACCTTTCCTCATTGGTCCTATTGTTTGAGTTCTTTGATCATCTTTGAAAGTCCTTCCTGCACCCACTTGAAGTTTTTGCATTTTTCTTAAGAAATAGAATCCATAAATCACAGAATTCAGAAGTTCCTTGAAGTTATCTAGTCTATCCATTTGCTTCTAGGAAGGTTTTTCTAAATAAATTCAGGCAGGCTAAAATAGTTCATACCCCTAATGAGCTCTATGAAAGAACACATATCCTTCTTTGATTATAAAATCAGCAATCATCAGAGTTGGGAGTTCAAGCTTCTCAAGATTCTTGTAGTCAAAAGAAAAAGTACATAAAGCTAAGTACACTCTAAATAATCACTTCTTTATTCATCTCTCTCTTCAAATAGGAAAGGATCACTCTGGAGAGTCTCCATCTGGTTTTAGATCTTCCACTGGAGCACCACTAAAGCAGCCAATTACAGAAACTGTCCTTCAGAACAATTGCTAATAATTCACAAGAACCCCAACAGAAACAGTGACAACAAATTAATATAGAAGCAGAGGTTGATCATTCTGTATGGTTTTTCTGGAGAAAAATGGAGCAATGAATGAAAAAGCCACAGATCCTTCTTCAAACATAATACTCTAAAACTTCACAGTAGATGCTGAGATAGGAAATATTTGACCTGATGTTGGGTAACTAAGCTAGCAGACTGAAAAAGCAAAAACTCTTTAGAGTTACAAGGCTGAACGTGGGCATGCATATCATATATATTCGGACAGCAGGAGCTTTTCATCATAGATGAAAGTGTTACTCCCTTCAAGCCAACCCCTTTAGCATATAGTTGAAGACTGCTCAGACAACTGAAGCTTCAAGGTGCTCTCCTGGAAGGACTATGAATACAGGACATTGTAAACACTAAATCTACATCTTGTGGCAGGCAGCAAGATTAACAGCATAAAGAGATTTTTTTTTCTTTTTTTTTTTTTTTA